AATCTAGGAAAAAGTCAGATATACTAATTTCCACATTGGTCTGAGATTTCCTGCAGGAAAGTTCTTGGTGGATTGCTAGTGCAGGGGAGATTTGGGGAATAGGGTGGAGAACAAACTACAGTAACTCATTTCTGCATGCGTGGCCACTGGAAACTGCTGCATAGGAACACAAATCAAAACACACACACCCACGCCTAGAGTGGAGGCGGCTGGCAGAGGGCTGTAACAATTCCAAGAGCTACCCACTCATCTCCCCGCTCTTGCTCAGATGCAGCTCCAGCCAGTTTGTAGCTCTCGTAAACCTCATCCAAACACGAGCTAGATATCTTAATTCCCAAGATCAAAGTTTATGACCATCACTAGCAGGAGGAAGACTGGATTACTGACTACAAGGAGGTGACAGCACTGCACCAGGAAGTTCATTTTTAATGGTCAGCGTTTCATTACTTTTTTCTAATACTGTACTTCAAGGTGAGCCATCTTTGGTGCATTGTGCTACTTATTGTATTTAGCATCGAGACATTCACTCACTGGGATTTGTAAATAAGGAAGCAGCAAAGTGATACTGCTTACATTAAAACAGTGCTTCTCACACTGTGGGTCATAAGTCTGACCCTGTTATAACAGGGTTGCTAGGGCCAGCATCAGACATTCTGGTACCTGAGACTGAAGCTAGGGCCTGAGCTTTGCCCTGCTGAGCTGAAGCCCTCAGGCTCTGGCTTCAGCCCCACTCAAGGTCACGTAGCAATTTTTCTTGTGTTAGGAGGGAGCTGCAATGAAATTTGAGAACCACTGGATTAGAATTCCTCCAAATGAGTTCACATGCAATTAAGTGTCACAGGCAGCTAATGAAACAGACAAAAAGCTAGTGCTGAAAAGACCAAAGATGCATCTCTGATGGAGCATTTATCTAGAAAGCACTTATTCCATATATCAGCATCTCCTGTTAGTGCAAGTAGTATGTGTGTAGATGAAGCAAAAAATATTATGTTAACAGGCAAAATATATGGAAATTGACAAGTCAGTTAAATAAGCACATGCACCTATCCAGCAAGTCTACAGATGAGATTATGATGCCTCCATCTATGTAGAGTATAGCAGAAAGTTGATAAGAGCCAGAAGCAAGTGAATGTATCTATTGCTATGTGTTACCCTGGGAAGTGGAGTCTTGCATGACAAAAAAAGGTAGACAATAACTATGCCTGTTACCTACTTAGAGAAAAAAAACCAGGAATCACAGCAGTTACATAGCATCAAGTAAACAGTCCAGAAATACTAACCCACATAATTCATTGTGCAACAGTGATTAGCTAGAAACAAGGAAAGATCAAATGCAACTATAATGACTGGAAATGTTTGCTTGCGTGGCAGGTATCTAGGCTATAAAGTGTACCATTAGATCCAGTGGTTAGGAAATCCATACTTAACCTGTAATTTAATTGTGGTAATTCGGCTACATTATAATCTACAGACTTCAGTTAAACTGGAATTCTTGATGTAAAAAAGATGAAAATTAGAGATGGCTGCATTAGAATTAAACTTCCCCAAGTAAAGACGACCACCTAATACACCAATACTCTGTAGTTTTTTTTAAAAAAAAAACAACCCTCTTCCTTTCATTTTACTCTCCCATCTCTAAAAATAATGAATTACCTTCATCACTGGGGTGTTTATTGGGATTAATTTGTGTCTACTTTTGCAGTGTAACCATTCAGGTTAGCTGAAACAAAAGACAGAACTTTAAAGACTAACAAGATGGTTTATTAGGTGATGAGCTTTCGTGGGCCAGACCCACTTCCTCAGATCCTTTTGTTTCAGCTACACCAGACTAACACCGCTGCATCTCTGTCACCATTCAGGTTAGCAGTCTCATAACTATCATATAATTTGCATTAGGATGACATCTACTGGTGTGATCACATATTGCAAACAGGCCCATCCAAGCCAACAATGGAGATTCAAACCACCAGATTCATCAAATCTAAAAGATAGCAAATGAGTTTCCTTTGAAAAGACTTTCAAGTGTTCTTGGGCTGAGACAGGTAAGCACCGCTTTAAAAAAAAAAAACACACCTACAAAAACAAAACATACACACACAGGAAGTCAGCTTTCTTCCCCGCTCCCCACTGTTCAGGCAGCTTCACTTCTTTACAAGTGTTTGATTCACCTGCAAGTAGGAGTTCATGACTGTTGATGACTCCAGTTGGTTGATCATAGCCCCCCCCCCCAAAAAAAACAACTTGCCTTTCATAATGGTTGTTTGCAACACAAAGTTATACAGCATGCTGCAAGTTCATTTGTTTACTGTTCCAATATTCTGAACACAAGAAATAATGTAGTGATTGTGGGTCATGCATATGTTTTAATAAAAGCCTCTAAGGAATTTTTCAGTTTGCAGCACAGGACTGTCACAGAACCCACACCTTTTGCTACAGAATCTGATTATACTCGACAGAGTACACATCTATAGCAAGGCAGCCAATTCAGATTGCTTAATTACTTCATGTCCATTTTTAGTTACAAACAGATCATGTGTGCATAAACAACACTACATTGGAGAAATGGTTGTTTGTCATCCTGCCCCCATATCTGGTACAAAAGGAAGACAGCTCTATTTTCCCCTATGTTTTGCTAAACATCAGAGACCATAGACTATACTGTTTTACAGTAAATGATTACCTACAGACAGTAAAGAATACATTGATCTTATGAGAACTTTGTACTTTAAGATATGGAAGATCAATAGCTGCTCCCTATTGTCTTGCAGGAGAATTTCCTGAAAGGTTTGGCTTGCAATACAAGCTGATGCAGAGTTCTTGCCACAGAAGCAAAAGATGTGTCAGTTGTTATGAAGGGCTGGGTCCTCTAACCCAGCGGTTCTCAAACATTTTGGGCTCTGGAGCCCTTTACATGCATAAAAATTTATGCGGTGCCCTAGCAGTCCACTGATTGTGTGTGTTGTACCTATCGACGTTTCCAGTTAGTCAACCTCACGGAGCCCCTTGTGTTGTCTCAGGCTCCGTGGAGCAGTTTGAGAAACACTGCTCTAACCTTTCTAAGGCGATGGGGTGTGGTCAAATTACTTCAGTGTCACACCACAGGAATCTTTCAGGACTCAGTATACTTCAGCTGCTTCAACCTCACATTACCCATAATCAGGGCTCAACAAATCCACTTATCTACTTGCCTGTGGCAAGTAGATTTCAGCTGGTCGCCCCATTCACTGGCAGTTCGCGCATGCACAGTACGGGACTGGCGAGTGGTTTTTGCCACGATCGAGCCCTGCCCGTAATACAAGATTAAGCTCTGAAGAGGACTCAAACCTCCATACTGCCTTATTAAAAGAGAGGCCCCATAATATTTACCAGAAATCTACTGTGGACACCCCCTTACTGGAAGCACAGAGGGTACCAGCAGTCCTTACAAGCCACCAGAGAACCCAAAACCCCATGTTCTCCTCCGAAAAGATCCATCAACCTCACTACCAAAATCCTGCAGCAGTAATCTCCTCTCCTATCACTGCTGCGAAGTCAGACTGATTTCCTAGGACCTTGTTTACTCTCCAGAACCCACTTTGTAATCTGGATTATTTTCAACTCTGTCATACCAGAAGGCTTAATAGTATGAGAGGCTGCTCTGCCTTTCTCCAATATTAGCTTCCACACATTGAAATGATACACAGAAGATTTTCACCTATTTTATTATACACAAAAACATGACCAGAGAATTCTACTGAGGAGGCTGACCACGTCCACGACCAAATCCACCTCTCTGTTAAAAAAAGAAAAAAAAAAAGAAAAAAAAAAAAAAAGAGACAGCATTAGAAGTTTGGTCATATCAGCAATTGAAAGTAGCACATCGCTTCCAAACCAAATATTAAGTACATTCCAAATACACCGCATCATTATTTCCCATTATGTGGAATTGTATGCTTTAATCATAAGGAGATCCATTCATTTTGCATGCTACTATTGATCAAGTTCAGCAAACAAAGACTTAAAGATTCATTTCTGAAGTTAATTACCATATGCACTGAGAGCAAGGTGGAACTCGCACTTGTCTAAAGCACAGCTCTTGGCCTCACCATACTGATCCAAAACATGACTAAGCTAGGAATTCAATCCTGCCCTCCCCTCCTTCTGCGGCCCACTAGAAACCCAATTAGCACATAGCTGCAGTCCATGTGAAATCCTCAGGGCCATACAGTGTATATATGGTGTGGGTGCAGCCCACAATGGTAAATAGTTGCGGATCACACTGATGTATCACCTCCAAGCTAGTCTACTCAAAACTAATACTCTATAGACGTGTGAAGCAACCCTTTCATCAGAAATCCCACATACCTTAACAAATATTAAGCCTCCATCTCTCTTTTGACATGAGGTAAGGGATATAGACATTGATTTGCTTAAGAAATTTAACACCTCAAATGAGAGGCATTAAGCGTTACATACAGTAACACATTTAAGACAGATGGGAAAGATAACATATCAAGTTGAAAACAAAGAAAATTTAGCTTGACAGAACCCAATTGCAACTTGAATTATGTGACCACATCACTGAGGTTATGATTTTTCCAAAAGGCTGCCAAAGAATTAAATTACAGATGATCATGGTTTTTGTAGTTTGCTTTCACTTGAAAGATTAGGAACACTGGGGGCTCCCTACCCAGTACTAATCCAAAAATTAGTATCACCTCAGAAGGTCTTCTAAGGACACACAAGCGCTGGTCAGTCAATTATCTCAACCAATGCTATTTAACACGTGAAGTTTTATATGACAGTAGGCCAGGTGGTGTAACTACAGGCTCAAAAGGAACTCCATCTACAGGGAGCACCTTATACTGTTCCAACAGCAAGGTGGTGAATGAATGATGTGAAAAAAATACCATCTCTTCCAGGAACTGCTTGAGTAAAAGCTTTCCTAAAGCATTAACATAAGGAACTAAAAAACACAAACAAACCACCCCACTACACATTGCTCAAATACAGACACTTACAAATTGGAATTCAGTAGCTGCTCCAGCCCCAGCCTCAGCTTTTTTGTCAGAACCAGCTAGAAAGAAGAAAAGGCTTTTTTAGAAAATCAGAAAGCAGAGAGAATCCACTGCCTGGTGTGGATGACAAATTCTTATTCAGGATATACCATCTTTAGCAATGTCAAATGTTTAATACCTTGTGATGTGCACACCATAGGCACTTTTTCAGTGACCTTTTTTTTTTTTTAAACCCAGACAATTGCAAACATTATGCCACATGGGACCGTGACATGTAAGCGTAACTGCAGTGTAGCAGAAACGACTTGATCAACAGACCCTAGAATCGCCAGGGAAATGGAGGCTTGAGGCCACAGACATTCATCACAAAAGTTATCACGTTACACATCTAAACACTGAAGAAATGTCTTGAAAAGAGATTTAAACGGCACAAATGACAAGTTCAGCCTGGTTAACTCATTCTTGCACTAGACAGGGTACTTACGTGGAGCGGTACTGCGCCTGTAGGTATCTCTGTCAGCCTCTCCCCGAGTAAGACGAGCAGGGCGTTCACCTTCCAGACCTGCAAGTTAGAACAGCATTCTCAATCCAAGGAATCCGATCTAAAGAAGCCTCAATTATGCTACACGTCACGGTACAATTATGCTTCAATACAGGATTAAAGAGACATATTTGCCTGAGCAAATTTGTGACCTCTTTGGGCCACAAATGCAGGCAGCTAAGTTATAAATACAGTTCTCTATCAGATACACTACTAGACATTCTTACAGACCAGCACGACTCCCCTTTCTTGACTACCATATTATTTTCTAGGGATGTAAAAGATGTATTAAGGGTGAGGCTTACCAGTTCACCAGTAAGGGCTGAAGCAGGTTACATGCTGGCTGCTGACCCCACTCCCAGCTTTGCTGGGACTCTGCAGTATAAAGCTTATTTAAGCTTTATATTGTAGAGCCCACAGCATGTGTAATCTCTATAATTCTTAGTGGTCACTTGGCTGTATTTTTAATCCTGTCTTTACATCCCTAAGCCTTTCAGACCCTGATCTGTCTTGCATAACCCAAGTTTCACCTCAAATGCTTACCAAAGAACACAAAAACAAGAACAAAATCCACCAACCTTCAGATAAACACTCTCATTGTTACCATAACTAGAAGTCAACAAAAATATAATTTTTTTGCTTACATTTCAGTTTATCATAGAGGGAGCAGTATGAACAAGTAATTGTCTGTATGAATTGGGGATGTTAATGGGTCCTGTGTTAAGCAGTTACCAGTAAGCACCACCCTTAATGGGTGATGTTTACCAGGTACAGTGACTCACTACTTGGGAGCAGCCCACACCTACCCACAATTTGCGTAGCTTATTTCAAGCTACGCAAGACTGTGCAGAGGTACCCTTGATGAGCTGGTTTACCCCTTGAAAGACCTTTGCATACCCCTACTTGAGAGCCACTGTTAAAGACCACATCAATAGTGTTTGAACTAGGACTGCCAACCAAGTAGCTGCTAGCTGGTTAGCAGTTGCTTATCCGTACTGGTTAACTTTAACAACCCTCCTCCCCATGGCTCTGCATTTAAAACTTAGATCAGCAGGCTGGCTCAGCTCCAGTCTGAGTTTAATGAAAAGCACGTAGGGGAGCTGCCTGCCACACCACACTGCTGCCTCTGTATCTGATACAGAGGCAGCAGCATGAGGCGGCAGGCAGGATCAGGTCCATGTGGGCAACTGGTTTAAAATTCCGGCTCTTGCCTGCTGCCCTGCTGTCTGATATAGAGGCAGCAGCATGGAGTTCCAGGGGGCTCCCCTGGAGTAGGGCTGGGAGCACACTGGATGTCGGCTCACACCTGTGGGAGAACAGGGGCACCGAGTAATTGTATAACCCAGAGGTGGAGAACCTAAGGCCCAAGGGCCAGACGCAGCCACCGGCTTGCCTGGATCTGACTCCCAAATATCTGGGCTTCCTTCCCAGCATTGAGGAACCTGTGCTGGTGATCCAGGCCCCTGCCCTTTTCATGGGGCCAGAGCACACAAAATCTACTAGTCTGAGTCCCACTTCTCACTTGTGTGTGGGCCCCAAATGATTTTTTTCTGTGGATCAGAAACCCCTACCCCATGTGTAACCACGAACAATTTTAGTGGTTATGCAATTATTGAAACTATTTCTAACATCCCTAGTTTGAACAATACAAATCTAAACAGAAATCTGATCTAACAGATCCCTTCTACAATTACAAAAGTCATAACTATTTGCTTGCCAAGTCAGACCAATGCAAATACAGCTAAGTTATGTTACCAATTCTGAATTTACAACATACTTTCAACCACACTGGGCTGGACTAAAGTTGAAGGTTAAGATATAAATAACACATCAATATTGTGATTATAATGCCAGACAAATGCACATTTTTACCCAAAATCCCAGATGTACAGAATTCTCTCAGCCCCAAATATTTACCTTTGAGCAAAAAAAAACAAACATCTTATGTCTTTAAAACTGCATACATTAGTAAGCCTAAGAAAAGATGGCCTATTAACATTACAAGAAATTAAGCTAAATTAAAATTAAAGGTGAGCAGATGCTTCCAGGGAAGAGGCAGAGCTCAAATTGAAGCCTGGTTAACTTGCGCTAGTAGGAATGTAAAAGGTTCCCATTATGGTTACAAACCATCTCTCCGCTTCTGGGGAGCAGGCTATCACGCTGTGCTCCGGGCTCGGCGCCATAAGAGTGATAGTGCAGAGCCTGCAGCATGTGTAAGCACTAGGATTTTTAGGGGTTACACAATTTTTTTACATCCCTATTTGCCAGTCTTTGAAACTCTGGGAAAACCCTACTGTCAGTCCTGAAAGATGAATATCTATGCCAGTGACACACAATCCTTCCACACTGTTGTACCCCTTTCTAAAACAATTTGTCTTCTGTACCCGCAAATGTCATCTCACTTCAAAATTTCTTACTTGCTCATTTTTAGCCATATAAATCTATTGGAACATAAGAACGGCCGTACTGAGTCAGACCAAAGGTTCATCTAGCCCAGTATCCTGTCTACCGACCGTGGCCAGCCCCAGGTGCCCCAGAGAGGGTGGACCGAAGACAATGATCAAGCAATTTGTCTCCTGCCATCCCTCTCCAGCCTCTGACAAACAGAGGCCAAGGACACCATTTTATCCCCTGGCTAATAGCCTTTTATGGACCTAACCTCCATGAAATTATCTAGCTTCTCTTTAAACTCTATTATAGTCCTAGCCTTCACAGCCTCCTCTGGCAAGGAGTTCCACAGGTTGACTACACGCTGTGTGAAGAAGAACTTTCTTTTATTAGTTTTAAACCTGCTACCCATTAATTTCATTTGGTGTCCTCTAGTTCTTCTATTATGGGAACTAATAAATAACTTTTCTTTATCAGCCCTCTCCACACCACTCATGATTTTATAGACCTCTATCATATCCCCCCTCAGTCTCCTCTTTTCTAAACTGAAAAGTCCCAGTCGCTTTAACCTCTCCTCATATGGGACCCGTTCCAAACCCCTAATCATTTTAGTTGCCCTTTTCTGAACCCTTTCCAAGGCCAAAATATCTTTTTTGAGGTGAGGAGACCACATCTGTACACAGTATTCAAGATGTGGGCGTACCATAGTTTTATACAGGGGCAGTAAGATATTCTGGGTCTTATTTTCTATCCCTTTCCTAATAATTCCTAGCATCCTATTTGCCTTTTTGACCGCCGCTGCACACTGTGTGGAAGTTTTCAGAGAACTGTCCACGATAACTCCAAGATCTCTTTCCTGATTTGTCGTAGCCAAATTAGCCCCCATCATACTGTACGTATAGTTGGGGTTATTTTTCCCGATGTGCATTACTTTACACTTATCCACATTAAATTTCATTTGCCATTTTGTTGCCCAATCACTCAGTTTGGTGAGATCTTCTTGGAGTCCCTCACAGTCTGCTTCTGTCTTGACTATCCTAAACAGTTTGGTATCATCTGCAAACTTTACTACCTCACTGCTTACCCCTTTCTCCAGATCATTTATGAATAAGTTGAAAAGGATTGGTCCCAGGACTGACCCTTGGGGTACACCACTAGTTACCCCTCTCCAATCTGAAAATTTACCATTTATTCCTACCCTTTGTTTCCTGTCTTTTAACCAGTTCTCAATCCAAGAAAGGACCTTCCCTCTTATCCCATGGCCATGTAATTTACACAAGAGCCTTTGGTGAGGGACCTTGTCAAAGGCTTTCTGAAAATCCAAGTATACTATATCTAGTGGATCCCCCTTGTCCGCATGTTTGTTAACCCCTTCAAAGAACTCTAATAGATTAGTAAGACAGGATTTCCCTTTACAGAAACCATGTTGACTTTTGTCCAACAAATTATGTTCTTCTACATGCTTCACAATTTTATTCTTTACTATTGTTTCAACTAATTTGCCCGGAATATGAATACTGCATTTAAATTTCAGTGTATAGTATATAGAGCAGTATAAACAAGCCACTGTATAAAATTTAGTTTGTACTGATTTCACAGGTGTTTTTTTATGTAGCTTGTTGTAAAACTAGACATATCTAGATGGGTTGATGTACTCCCTAGAACAGTGGTCTCCAACCTTTACACCCAAGATCACTTTTTAAATGACAGAACAAGCCAAGATCTACCGCCCCGCCCCTTCTTTGAAGCCCTGCCCTCTCTGTTCTCCTTCTCTCCATGCTGCTTTTTCCCGCCCCCCCAATTCTTCTGTAGGAAGAAGTTTTTCCAACATTTGGCCTGTCTAGTCTTGACCAAATGTCAGAAAAAAACCCTTCTTTTGGAAGCCCCCTTATTCCTCGTGGAAAGAGGAATATAGGGGTGACCAAAAGATCATGCTTGCTCTTCCACTAAAAGAAGTGGAAGAACAAATGCATCCCTGGATGCAGAAGCGTTTTTCTGGGGTATCTCCGGAATCCTGAAAAACTCCTGCAGTCTAGACGTACCCTCGCTGGGTTGAGACAGGATGTGTAGGCTCCGGGGTAGGAATGAGGGATTTGGGTGTGGGAAGGGATGCGAGGTGCAAGCTCCGGGAGGAAATCTGGATGCAGGAGGAAGTGGATAAGGGAACGCTGGCTCGGGGAGGGAGTTCCAGGCCGGGCAGTGTTGGGGTCAGATGTAGGGTTAGGGTACTAAGTAAGCCACAGACTTCTGGATGTGAGGGTTTAGGAATTTGGGTTGGGGTATGTGAGGAGCTCAGGGCAGGGGGGTTCCAGTGTATGATAGGCTGAGATCTAGGGTCTGGGGAAAGGGGAGTGCAGGAGTGTCATGATGCTGTGGCCAGATGGGAACGTGGCCCCCATTGGGGGTTTGCTGGCCAGGCTTCCTTTTCAAATAAAGTACTACGTCAAACAAAAAGTTTCTGCATTATCTTTATTTCTGAGAAGGGCAGGGAACCTGTTTGGACAGGGTGCCAGTGGGGACAGGTTTCTGAGGCCGGGGAGTGGGGAGATGGAACAGGAGGCTGGGGAGAGGGGACAGATGCGAGTGGGGGCAGAGAGTCCCCTGCCAGAGCCTCCTCCCAGGATTCTCCACCCCCC